CCCCACCTCCGCCCCGGTAGTAAGGCACCTCCAGAAACGCCACGAGCCAACTTCAACCAGAGAAATGGGACTTCAAGTTGGAAAAGCAAACTTGTGCTTCCAAAATCAAGTCTTTTAGCTTGTTTGTATGCTTCTGTTGCATAGTGCAATATATAATTTAACACAGGACTTGAGACATAAAAGATTCTTTGCATTAACCATAGAAAAAAAGAGTTTATGTGCTCCAAGCATTTTTGGTAACTTAGGCAGATATGCCTTCATTAGGGCATTAAAACTGGAACAAGCCATAATTATGACTGAATGGATTTATGAGGAAACACGTAATAAAGAGCATATTTTACTCATGAAGAACAGCTCCCCAAACATCATTTAATTAGTCTTCTCAGAGGCCAGAAACTGTTTCTTTATCCGCAATATCCATGAACTCATCCAGTCCCTGTGGACCATTAACACTTCCCCTAAGTTAGCAAACCGTTGGCTTCAGGGGGAGCAGCCGTGTCCATCTGAGCTGACGAACGGTTCGTTCAAGTCTGGCTGGCGACGACGATCACGGCTTTAGATTCGGTTCCCCCAGTACGCCGAGCTAGCCTGAGCGCACGCCCACTGAAGATAAATAAGAGATATTTTAAGGTCCTGGTCCTATATCTTGCTGCGCACGGTGGCAATGCAAGACCTCAAGATCTCTCCCAGATCCATCGCCCTAGTAGTGACATCAACCCTACCGCTTTGTATCACTTGCCTTAAATGTTAAAATGACCAGGACTAAAGTGGATTTTGTATCACCTCTGGTAAGACGCCACCGTTTAGAAAGAAAAGGAAGAAACAACCCTGGTCGTCATCACAGCTAAAAACGGAGAAAACTTCCTCTCCCGGTTTCTCTCTCCCAGTCGCTCCCTGCCCTGCCTCATCCGGTGCTTTCCTAGGGATTACTAAACAGAGGAAAATACCCATTAGGGAAAAGATTAAAACAGATTGAACTGCCTGCATTCATGCAACAGTGTTGGGTGGAAGCTTGAAAAAAAAAATTCCTGCTCTCCTGCACAAACAAAGAAGAAACGCTTTTGTTTGGTGGAAAAGAGACCCCTGTCTTCAGCCTTCTTCCTCCCCCTGCCCCTCGCTTTCCTGCATAAGGAGAGGAGGGGAAGAGCGAAAAGGGGAGGCAAACATGGGATGCTTTTTTGCTAGGAACGCTAAACTGAGGTTTGCAGCGATTGAACACTTGATACTAAATCTCAAGATACCGTTCGTTCAGAAGAGGCCGCGTAAAACGGAAGGTTTTACTCCAGACAGCCACTTCTTCTACGCACGTTTTCCCGGAAGGAAAACGTCATTTTTCTTAAAAACAGACCAACCATCGCAGGAAACCAATTTTTGGAGACTTGGCGACAGCACGCAGCCTCCTCTTCCTCCCTCCCTAACGCAGCTTGCCATCCCGCACCCCTGTTCAGGCGGCCCCTCTTCTCTGCCCGTCACGGCGCTGGCGCGCTCGACCTAACGGCAGACCTCCAGCCTGGCCTGCTTTCCTCGGCCTGACCCGAAGGGCGTCTGGGCGACCAGCAAGCGGCCAAGTTCTCCACGTCCAGCCTAAATAAGGGGCCGGGGAAGCCTTCGTGCCGCGCTGCGACGCGCCTCGGACGCCCGGGGACCGAGAGCCCTTGCAGGCAGCGCCATCCCACCCAACCCTCCGCCCGGCTCCCCAAAATCCAGGGCCCGAAGAGAAACTGCCGGCAGCCTCGCCGTGAACGGGCATGACCTCACCCCTCAGACATGCAGCGCCGCGATTAGGTTAAAACAGCAAATATTTA